TTCACACCAGAGACGACTGCAAAGTCATCCGAGGTCTCTCCACTCAGCTGCACCCTCGCTCGCATACCACTGCGCAGACATTCAATTAAACTTACAAACTTACGCGGGCAACCAAACTTACCCAACACCAGCCACAATGCCTCGCGGTTCACCGTATCAAATGCCTCTGTGAAATCAACAAAAAGCGAGTACAATGGCTGGTGTGGTTCTCCGCACTTCTCCTGCGACTGAGGAGCCACAACCACCATATCTTTAGTGCTGCGACCCGAACGGAATCCGCACTGCTCTCCGCCACGTTAGGTTCCACAACCTGACTGATGAGGCGGTTGAGCAGGATTCGGGCAATCACCTTGTCCACACAACTCAGCAAGTTGATGCCACGATAATTCGTGCAACGTTGCTTGCTACCTTTACCTTTGTACAGTGGTAGCACAAGGGCATCCTTCAGCTCAGCAGGCACCTCCTCCTCAATCCACACGCGTTGCACCAAGTGGTGCAGCGCAGTCAACAACGCGGGTCCACCGTGTTTCAATACTTCAGGTGGGATCCCGTCACCTCCGGCACACTTGCCGTTTCGCAGCTGAGCAAGTGCTCTCTGCGTCTCATCCAGTGTCGGCGTATCCGCCAGGTCCACCTTCACATCGTGCTGCTTCAGGCCGTTCAATGTAGGCCAGTCGATCTCTGAACGATTGTTCAAGAGACAGTCAAAGTATTTGCGCCAGATCTGCATTATGTCTGCAGTCTGGGTGCAGGCAGCGCCTGAACTACCATCGATCAGTGTTCTCAGCTGCTCCAATCTCGGTCCATACAGCGCCTTCAAGGAGTCAAAGAATTCCTTGGGTTGACGGCATTCGGCGTAGCATTCCATCTGCTTCGCCTTCTCCGTCCACCATGCATTTTGCATGCGACGGAGCTCTCGGGTCAGTCGCCGTCGAAGTTTGCGAAACTGACTCTTCCCCAAGTCACTGGGGTATGCCACATGTGCAGCAAATGCTACATTCTTCTCCGACACCAATGCGCCCATCGTCACATTGTTGTCATCAAACCAATCAGGCCGCTTACAGTTTGCGCGCCCGATGGTCTCCTCGGCAGCAGCTGTCACCTGGTCGCGAATGTGGTGCCACAGGTCGCCCACTGTGGCTATGCAGTCCACATCACCACACAGGCGTGCAGCCATCGCCTTCTCCAGCTCAGTACGTTTCGCCACAGTACCGAGGGAGAGAATGTTAAATTGACGCCGATTCACGGCGGGAGTGCAATACATAGATTTACGAAAATATATGTACAGTTCGGTACGAACCAATTTGTGATCAGTGCCACACTCAGCTCCACGCAGTACACGTGTCATGCGCACTTCAGGCATATCACGCTGACGTACGATGACATAGTCGAGCAGGTGAGCGTGACCACTCCGTGGGTGCGTCCAAGTTGCTATATCACTCGCACTCAGTGCAAACCGAGTGTTCGTGATCGTTAGGCCGTGAGTGGCACACAGTGCGAGCAGCCTGCCACCGTTCGCATTCGCTGAACTAATGCCATGCGTACCGATAACATCTGTCCAAGCTGATGCATCACGCCCAACGCGCGCGTTGAAATCACCCAGCAGAAACAGTCGGTCGCTCCTCGGCACAGAGCGTATCACGGAGGAGAGCTCAGTGTAGAACTGATCACGCGTGTCATCAGGAGAACACATGGTCGGACCGTACGTGCTTATAAAAGTAGCAAACTTACCTCTTCCGAGTCGTAGGCGAACAGTCATAAGTCGCGCACCGATGCCCGTTGGTTCACCCACCAGCTGGCCATCGAGGCGATCGGATATTGCAAATCCGACCCCATGTTCACGTGGTGCTAATACGGCATTGCCCACTCAGTAGAATGTGTAGCCAGCACCTGCTTCATGCAACTTACCTTGCTCAGCGAGCCGAGTTTCACTGAGCGCCGCAATATCGATGTGGTAGCGCGCCAGCTCCATTGCGACCAGTGCAGTGCGTCGCTCCTGGCGCTCGCTGGAGTTCCGGTCCCGTAGTGTGCGCACGTTCCAGCACCCGATGCTGAGTGCTTTGCGTGCAGGCATACGATTGCATTGGTGGGCAGTCGCACGCGAGGTGGTCGTTGTGCTTCGGAGGTTTGTTTGAGGGACTCCACCCGGAGCCTTTGGCTCAATAGCCTGACCCACAAGGCAGTGGGGAGCAGATCCAGCTCGGGAATGTGATTGCAGAGACAGATTGGGATCTGCTTGACGGCCGTCACACGCAGCCTTTTGAGGAACTGGAACAATTATTATATGTTTTGCGACCGTAATTGGATACGCACCTGCGACCACGGCCAGACGCAGGAGGGTTTTTGGCGGGTTTGCACCAATTTGACCAGGGGCTGCCTGGCTTGAGGCCGGCAGTAGCAAACCATTGAACACCCGGAGGTGTCCTCCCACCGTCAGAGACAATGCGCGGCACTCGTGCTCTACGCCAATCGATCTGTGAGCTTATAACCCGTAAACCTGTTGTCTCCCATGGCTATGTTTTACGGGAAATTGGTCATCGACCACTTCCTAACCTCCGAAGAGGATGGACTAGGATACTGGCAGGGCGCCCACACCTGACAGGAGAACGACTCGGGTCCTCAGCCAAAGCCTTCGATTAAATGAACACCCGAAAGGCAGCGGGTCTAGCACATGGTCAGTTAGCCGACTCATGCGGATTCGTGTCCTGGATCTTAGCAGGGAGAAGGGCGAATCCCAACTCCCACCCAGCGGTCGCCACGTGGAGGCGCCCAGGACATGAGACTATGGCGCAACAGTAGCAGCAGTGGGTAGACCATCTGTCAGGATCTAGCCACCACCAGCCTCAGCGCACCATAGGCTCTCCCGCCAAGAAATACATACATACATGGTTGGCGGCATCCGGTTTCGGATTTGACTGTCACTGTGGCAAGCCACAGGACGTCTGCGCCTACAGAGGGACCATGGATGGCTTGCGCTGCACCACCCACAGCTCCATCCACACACCCCATATCCAGTGTAAACCCGAAGGAATAAGGCCGGGAGGCATGTGGATGGGAGCCACGTTTCATCAATGGAGCCGGCCCACACTCCTTCACAAGCAAACACAAGCACGCTGTATTTGGAGAATCAAGCGCACACAAGGCGGTGGCTGGACAGTAGTCCGCTCCACACTGAGTGCATTGAACCACTCTTCGAGCCTGGCACGGCCACAAGGACCGTGCACCCCGTCCCCTCCAGCAACGACCAACTGTCTCCTGGAGCCAGTATGGACGAGGTAGTGTGTAATATACAGGTAGGCACCTTGTCAACATGCACATCATGCGAAACCACACCGGGGATATCAAGCAACAGCCAATCACCTGGAACGACAAGATGAAATAAAACAAATCCAATAATGCGTACAGATACGGTGGCATAACTCTAAGCTAAATAAGCATATGAAGTAAGTTGGTTAGCAACGAATCCGCGATAAGGAAAAAATGTCCATAAGTTAGTTAAAAATATGACAGAAGTATGAACGAAGATCGGTCTAGCTGCCTTCAAGTTGTTGGCAACAATTAACAGAACAACTAGAAGCTGCAATACATCGTCGGGTAGCAAACACCAGGATGAAAAAGCATCATGCGCTTCTCGATAGGTTTTTAAAATTGACGTCTCCTTACGATCAAAATATCAGTGACGACTGGATTAGAAGTCTTTTCAACCGACCAATAAACGATGCCGAAAAGCAAGTCCTCATCAAGGGATTAAACTACAACTACAGATAAGCAAGGGTTACCGACTTCTTAGCAGCATTTGAAAGTGCTCTACAAACCAAAGGGTTGGACGAAGAGACTCGGAAGCAAATAAGACACACAATTGTTCCTGCTATAACGCACAACAAGCAACACAACGCCTTAACCAGACAAGAAAAAGAGGCAGTGAATACCCTGAAGTCTGATGAAACGATCATTATCCTACCAGCTGACAAGGGGCGAATGACTGTCATAATGAATAGGAAGGATTACATTGAAAAATCCACACGCCTCTTGAATGACACAACAACCTACAGGTGCATTGACGCCCATCCAACTTCGCAGCTGACAAACAAAGTAAACAAAACATTGAAGCAACTTCAGGAATTGAAGTAAATCACGAAAGAAGAGCGCGACAGGATGAACCCGCGACTCGAACATCGCGCAATTCTATGGATTCCCAAAGGTGCACAAAGATGATGCACCGTTGCGGCCTATCGTGTCTCTCCCGGGAACACCCATCTACAACCTGGCGAAAGAAATGTGGAGACGCCTCAAACATTTAACCTATGGGTCGCAATATTCTATAACCAATGCCCGGCAGTTTCTGCAAAAGATCAAAGACCTGCGATTAGATAATGATGAAACATTGATATCATTCGACATGACTGCACTCTTCACGTCTGTTAACTTGCAGACAGCAATAGCGGTCATCACGGAACGGCTGAACGTCAGTGGACAACAAATCGGAAAAATGAAGACCGAAAATGTATGCAAATTACTACACTTGTGTCTGTCAACCCACTTCTCATTCAAAGGAAAGATTTATGAGCAGTTGAAAGGCACACCAATGGGATCACCCGTGTCAGGACTCATCGCAGAGGGTTATGCAGAAATTGGAGGACGTACTACCACTCATCAATCCGAAACTGTGGATCCGGTATGTGGACAAACATTTGTGATAATCAGGCGCAACCGAATAACAGTCGCACAACAGCTATTGAATAACGTCATGGAAGGCATCCAATTTAAAATGAAACCGAAAATGGAAGTCGGCTCCCTTTCTTGGACGTATTTGTGAGAAGAACCATGAAAGGCGAGCTGCAAACATCGGTATACAGAAAGGCACACACACAGACCAAATTCTGAACTTTAACAGCAACCATCCGAAATGCCACAAAGTAAGCCGTGTGCGGACACTGTTTTGCAGAGTGCAAACACAATGCAGTACCACAAAAGCAAAGCAAAAAAAGAAAAGCACTCACTTAAATGTTTCCAACACAACGGATACCGACGAAGCTTCATTCGAAGGTGTCTGTATCAAAACAACGTAAACATACAGCCTACAACAACAACAGCAGCGGCAACAACAAACACAACAACAAAGACAACTGAGAAACGGGTTGTTCTGCCTTATATGAAGAACATATCAGAAATGGCAGCCGGACTGCTCAAACAGCATCATCTCATTGTGGCACACAAACCAACTGCCACGTTGAGAAAAACGCTTTCAAAACCAAAAGAAAAACTGCAGGCACATAAACAACGCAATGTGGTATACAAAATACCTTGCCGAGGTTGCGAAAAGGATTATGCTGGCCAGACGGGAAGGAAACTGGTAACAAGGATACAAGAACATAAAAGAGCCTGTGTAAAGCATTATGCATCGTCGTTAGTTTCAATGCATGTAGATGAAGAAGGACATAGCTTCGATTGGAGCAAAGCAGAAGTCCTGGCACGGGGTGAAACAAGAAAACATACATACATACATACATACAATACACAAAGGAAAAATAGATACAACAGTTGCATGCCAGCAACGGATAGGCATCGTTGCGGTTAAGCTTCCAGCCAGCTACTAGGCAAAAAGAAAATTTTTTACTATGTTTTACCCTATGAAATGAGATCGTAGATGGAGGGGGAAGCTAAAAGGGATGGGGAGGGACAAAGAAACTCACAGCACAAACGCCACTGAGGTCGGCTCCTTGCCATGTCAGCAAGTGTATCCAGCCAAACGTGTTCACCGTCTTTTGGACCCCAACCAGGGAGCCGTGACGCTCCAACCGAGGCTAGCTCCGAAGTGAGGGACTTCACTCCCCTGGACCAAGTCATCGCTTGGCCACCTCTCCTCTTCTTCCACCCACATCCCAGGTGAGCAAACAACGCACGTCGAGGGAGTCGGTGGGCTGGCATGCGTAACTCGTGGCCGAGCCATCGGAGCCTGGTGCGGGAAACAACGGTGCTGAGCGGTTCAGATCCTTTTCTTGGGCCGTAAACAATGCGTCGAACACGCTAGTTACTCACGCGGTGTTCCCACCAGATGTGAGCCAAACTGCGAAGGCACCGATGGTCGAACGTAACTAGCCTCTTCATGTCCGCTGATCTTAGGCGCCAGGTTTCGCAACCGTACAGTAAGGTCGAACGTACCGCTGCATTGTACACTCTACCCTTCAGGGCGAGAGTGATGTCGCGCCGTCGTCATAGGTGGCGATGGTTAGCAAAAGCATTTCGAGCTTTCGCTATACGGTTCGTGATCTCGTCTTCGATCCCAAGGGCGCTGATACAACGGCCGATGCAGGACGAAATTTGTTTGAAGAAAAAGTCATGGTTGTATGTGGGCTGAGATACTGCCAGGACACCCAGGAGGAAGGCTGATCAAAACATGTGCACTTGTCTGAATCGAGTTTCATTGCATTCCGTGGTTTAGGCATGTAATCATTGTGGGGAGGTTGGGTCCCCATAACAGTGCGAAACAAGGGGCAGGACGCCAAATGGGCTTTTGGTGTATCTTTATACCTTAGCGCGTTGAGACTCTAACCACGCGCGAGCCCAAAGGCGGACAACGCGGTTGGCGTTGGGCCATACAAATCGTTCGGTTACGAGCTTCAACGAAGCGCGTATACCAGGATGAGACAGGTTGTGTAGAGCATCGAAAACAAATCCGCGCATCGAAGTAGGAACTAAGGGTCCGGGAGAAGTTTGTGAAGCGCCATAAAGTGTGGTCCGCTCACATGAAGCAAGTGGAACTTCGCGTAGTTTCCGCGAGGTGTTGCGCCAAAGCTTGTCCAGGCCGGGATCGGCTTGTTGGGCAGTTGCCATGGCGGCTAGATCGATATTGGACGCAGGAACTAAGCTGATCTGATGGATACGTGGAAGAGCGTCTGCAACGAGATGGAGAACACCTGAGACATGTCGTACGTCCGTTGTAAAATGAGAAAGGTAGCCTAGGTGTCTAGTTTCCCGCGGAGAATACTTGTCAGTCGCACCATTGATTGCGTAGATCAATTGCTTGTGGTCGGTAAAAATTGTAAAATGTCGACCGAGATAATAACGGAAGTGCTCGATACCTAATTAGATTGCTAATAGTTCCCTACCGAAGGTGCCGTAACGCGATTCGGCAGGCTGCAGACGTTTCGAGAAGAAACCTAGAGGTATCCACTGATGGTCAATGAGTTGTCGAGGAACTGCATCGATGGCGGTGTCTGATGCGTCAGTTGTAAGAGAAAGTGGCGCAGTTGTGTCTGGATGAGCGAGAAACGCTGTGTTGGGGATAGTGTTTTTGAGCTCCTCGGAAGCCAGTTTGGCATCGTCTAGGAAGAAAAAAGAGCCTTGATTAGAGCGGAGTAAGTTAGACATTGGTTGCATTATGCTCGCGCAGTTAGGGATAAAGCGTCTATAATAGATGACCAGGCCAAAGAATCGGCGGAGCTGTTTGAAGAAACCAGGAGCAGGATAGTCCTACAGTGCCTGAATTTCGCCTAGTAAGGTTTCAATGCCGGATATTCTATGGATATTCTGTGGCCAAGAAGGTCAATGAACCTTCGGCCAAGTTCGCACTTATCGGGGTAGATGGCAATCCCATGTTGCGTTAAGCGTTGGAAGAGAGCGCCGAGGTGATAAAAATGTTCATCATAGAAAGAGTTGACAATGAGAATGTCGTCTGAGTAGGGATAAACACTTTCGAGTCCTCGCGTCACCTTATGAATGAAACGGTGAAAAGTTTGAGCAGCGCTGCTGAGGACAAAAGGCATTCTGAGGTACTCGAATAGGCCGAATGGCGTGATGACTGCTGTATTAGCAATGTCTTTTGGTGCGACAGGTATCTGATGGTAGGCACGAACTAGGTCGATTTGGCTAAAAATCTACTTACCAGCTAAAGCTGAGGTTAAGTCGTGCTTGTGAGGAGTGGGCTATTTATCCGAGACGGCAACTTTGTTAAGTGCCTTATCCTCACCACAGGAGCGCGTCACCGGATCTCTTGGATATCATATGTAATGGTGATGCCCATGGATTTTTGGACGGGCGGATTATTCCCAGTTCGAGCATATGCTCGAATTCCGTCTTAGCCGTTTTGAGCTGCTCCGGTGCTAGTTTGGGAGAGCGGGCAGAAACAGGTGGACCCTTAAGGCATATGCGATGCACGACGTTTGATGTCACAGAAGGACAGTCGTTCGGAACGCGAACGAGTTTAGGATGCTTGTTGAAAAGGTCTGTAAAATGTTGTGAAGCTTGAGACAGGACGCGATAATACTGAGCTGTGTCCGAGTGTGGATACGCTTCTGTCTTTCAGCGTAGGTGATAAAGTCGAAGTGTTGAAGAAAGTCTATGCCTATGATAGCGAGGCACGGCTGCAACCATGAAAAACCAGCGAAAGGTTCGCCGGAAATCTAAATTGAGCGTTAGCAGCTTCTCGCCGGAAGTTGCGATTGGTGTGCCATTGGCGGCACGCAGCTTGGTCGGCGAGGGTGAGAACACCTCATCTGAAATACGGGGTATAACGCTAACTTCGGCTCCGGTGCCGACTAGGAACTCGGTGCCGGAAGTTAAATCCGTAATACGGATGAGGCGACTTCGGGGTTTGGCCGGTCGCGTCCTTCGCGTTACGGGCAGGCGAAGTTTCCCAAGTTCTCGGCGAAGGTGCAAGGCTTTCCACACTTACGAGCTGAGGTACCAAAGCGTCGGTAATATCAACAGCATGCTTGCCTGTTGCTTGATTTAGAGCGTTTTGAGGAAATTTTGATCGGCTGTAACGACGACGGCTCATAGTGAGCTGTTGGACTTGGCGACTGAGTGCTGCAACTTGTGTTTACAGGGCTTCTATGGATGACTGAAAGTCAGTGATAGAAGTGCTCTGGGACGCGACGGCGTTCCCCTTGCTGGCGTCGGCTTGTGGGTGCGATAGTTCGATGACTCGATCTGCTAAATCAACTATTTGAGTGAGCGAAACGGAGCTCACGATTGCTAGAATCGCTTGCGCGGTTTCCCGTAGCCGCTGCAGCCATAGTTCACGGAGTAGACTCTCGTACATTGTTGATGAACCGAGGAGCTGTTGCATCTTTCGAATCAGAGTTGAGGCCAGTTGGTCGCCCAATACCTGAAAAGCCGCTGCAGGCGAACTTTCTCAGAGGGTATGAGACACTTAATCGTGACCTTGAGAGCATCATAACGGTTTTCAGTCTAAGAAATGATGACATTTCGAACCTGCATCGATATTTCCTTGGGGAGATAGGACATGAGCTTGCTGTATTTAGCATAGTCTGTAGTAATTCCGTGAGTATAAGATTCTGCCTTTAAGTGAGCAAAGCACAAAAGGGGATCTATGTCCCAAAAAAGTGGGACAGAGAGAGATACAACACTAACGAGAGACTCTAAATCATGGTCTACATAATCCATGGTTTAAAAGTGGATACGAAAAGATATTTGAAAAGCACGGAAAGAAGACGAAGGCTGGTAGATGCACGCATTACGTATTGTCTCCTCAGTACCATTAATAATAACCAATATGCATAGATATAGTTAACAGTGGGTGCAATCAGACAAGTTTGAGGTGCAGAACGAATGGCGGAAGTTCACACCTACGTTCAAAGCAGCTTTAGGCTGACAAATAATTGTTACTGAACACACAAGGCTGGCTTAATCCAGCTTATATCGACAGCCTCAGCAAACCGAAGGAAGCGGGGATTAGTGTGATCTAACACAACTTTAAACGATGAGCCCAGCTCTATCCGGTGACCCGAGTCTAATAGGTGTTTGCCTATCAAGGAAACTGGCGGTCTGCGCGAACAAGGAATCTGACGAGGGTAGGCAATCTGAACTACTTCACGCTGAACCCATCTAGGTACATGCTTCTTTATTCGGGAAGTCAGCGTTCTATTGATTCTGCCTATGTAACTGTTTCCGCAGTCACATACAAATTGGTATACATCGTGTGAGTTGTCCCCAAAATATATACTACCGTGTGGAAAAAACAAACCGGAAAATAGGAAAAATAAACAAAACGAACTCGCCGGAGAAAAATTCGAAGTAGCCGGAGGT